GGAGCGACGAATCGCCCAGGGGCTCCTTTCACTCGCATGACACGGTGCAGATGCAGTTGGCTTTAGGCCCAAGAGAGGTGACCCAGTGTTCACCCGGCACAGAGTGCGGTGCGGCCTGAGCGGGTCCCAGGGGCTCAAGGATGGCCCTGCCACGCCTGTGAGGCCCGGTCCCACGCAGAGCCGCAGGACAGTTTGTCTCTGAGGTCCCCGTGCTCTCGGGGGTCAGGGCTCACCTTTCCGTCCACCGTCCCCGGCTCTGTGGGGAGGTCGTGGGCTGACGACTGAGAGACAGCGTGTGTGACCGCCCAGCCGGGCTGGTAGGAGTCTTCTCTGGGCCAGCGCGGAGGTCCAGACAGACAGACTGACAGACTGACGGACGGACTCTTGCAAGTGTCACTGCCACACCAAGCATCACAGGGGACGATGCAGGATGGTCCCGTGCCCCGGGGAGGGAGGCGAGGGCACCAACAGCTGCATGTCACTGTGGCCAGGGACGGGCGGTGGCACCTCGGAGGAGGAGAAGGGACCCTGTCACTTCAGCGTCTGGTGGCGCTAGAGCGAGCGAGTGACGTCAGGCCCGTGGCGTTCGCCACCATACCGCCTGCGGTGGTGAGCGGGTGGGCGGGTATGCCCCGTGCTGTGCTCACCTCTGCAGGAAAGGCCCCTTGCTCGCCGCAGGTGGGAGCTCACCTCCTGGCTGGGGTGTGTGTGCACACGGCTGCCGAGTGTTGTTCCGGGCAGACAGCTTTAGGCTCACACGCGCCTTGACACTCGGCCTGGAGGGCATCTATGACACTCGCAGAAAACTGGTTTTATTTATTTGGTATATATTTTTAGTGACTATTACTTGGTTGTTGCAATTGTATGAGGTCTGGGTGAATCAATAAGTAATAAAAAATAGCTCCAAATAATTTTCTCCAAATTTCTGAAGGGCTTTTAAAGACAAACCCTAAAAATTAAATCTACTTCATTAGGGAGGCTGATTGGATTTTTTAAAATCTGCAGATCCTAAGGCGTTTCTTTAAAACAGTATTGACTTTATAATAAGCAGACTGCAAAAACCCAAATGGCATAGGGGCTGAAAAGAGAATTTTCAGCAAAGCAAGAAGTAGAAGGTGTCCCTACCACTGTGAGCCGTGTGTAGTTGCAGGAACCGTCACGGTTGTTTCCAGGTTCCTCCTGGCACACAGTGTGTTCTGTCAGCTTCAGGGTTGGGGTCCCCTCCGCATCACATGATATTTTGGGTTGTGTGGCCACAGGACACAGACTTGAGACCCTTCGCCTTTGTACTTACAGTTCAGATTTTAATGATTTGCCCACATTTAAGGATCGGTGATTATGTTCTCGAACCCACCTCTCAGGATTATGTTGGGCCTGGTGTGGGCACTGCAGGAGACTCTGGTGGTCCTGGCCGCTTTCGTTCTTGCTCCCTAGACTTCTTGATTCGGGAGCTTTCCCTGCGTGGCCCTGGGGGTTCTGATGCCCACGCTTCTCACTCCGGTGAGATTCTCCCGGGCTCTCCGTGTCAGGGAGGCCATGGCACTGTGAGCACCGCAGCCAGGCCTGGTTCCGTAGCTGGTCCTCAGAGTGCCACAGCGTGGGCCGTGTCCCACTGTGAAGGCGACTGCAGCCTCCTTTGGAATCGCCCACAAAAGAATTCAGGCTCCATCTCTGCAGGTGTTTTTAAAACCCCGGAAGTCACTGGGATCCAAATGTGAGTACATGGTGACCAGTTGGAGAATGTCATTTGAAGGGTAAAAATGAGATTTGTCTTTTCTACACAAAATTTTGTTAACCAACTTTGAAATAGGAAGTGACCACAGACGTGCACAAATGTGGAGCCCGGTACCATCATTTGAGAAACCTATGTGTTACCAGGTTGGCTTTGTTAAAGGGTAGCTTTTGTTTGGATATTCAAGTTTGCGTGCGCGCGCGCACACACACACACACACACACACACACACACACACGCGTGCGCTAGTCCAGTACTCAGTAGTCTTGCTACACATGTGTAATCAAGACCTACTGATAAGGATTATAGGCTTTTCCAGAGCACACTGGGCCTCTGTCTTTGGCGGCTGACTTGCATGTTATTTCTCTCTTCTTGTGAAAACGGAAGGAAGGGGAGGATGCAAACCTCCACTCACTTAGCTGGGTTGGATTATGGGAACACCTGGCCTGGGAAGACGTTAAACCTTTTAGTTACAGCAAGGTTTGGGGCTCACTCCCAGACTCCCAGGGAGCCTGATTCCGGCAGAATGGTCGCAAAGGTCTTCAGGGAGGAACCGGTTTTGCAGGTTGGGGTTGGGCCACAGCTCTTTGGGCACTGTGACAAAGCAGCCCAAATCCTTGGCAGACACTGCTTTCCCCAGGAGCTGCCAGGCCGGGCAGTCTACGGTGGCCGGTCACTGGCTGAGTGTCCATAGTCACAGCCTGGACACCAGTGGGGGCTGAGCCCAAGAAGTGCCACAGATAGAGCCAGGAATTGGCCTGAACTGGGCCCCTGACCCCTGATTCTACTCCTGGAACCTGTGTCACCGGAGTCCACCAGCCCTCTCTGAGCTTCCCTTGCTCAGCTACAAAATGGGGGAATAGAGGAGGAGGCTCGGAGACAACTGAGCTCCCACCCCCATGACCCCCTCTGAGGCTTGTTCTCATGTCACTCCCATTTTGCTGCCTTCCCTTAGCCAGATACTAGTACCTAAGAAGTAGATTTGTGGGTCAGTAGCCCCACGGTTAAGAACTCCCATGCAAAACCCTGCAGAGCCACCAAAGGCCAGGAGCTCAGAGGTGCCTTCCCCACGTGACATTGCCCCAGGCAGGAGGGGGTGACCCTAATCATGGGCATCCCTCTTGTGAGTCTACAGATGGGCCCCAGGCTTTCATCCAGTGGTGTTTTCTCTGTTACACTAATTTCAAGGTTCTCCCAAACTCTGGGAGCTACAAACCTCTCCCATGTTACCCAGAGGAGGATGGCAGAGCATGAAGGTGCTACTTCCCGCTTCCTTTCCTGTCTTTTCACTGGACACCATACAGTTCCGTTTCTGTGCTTCCTTCCCATGGCTCACAAACTCCCAGGACGAGGGAGTTTCTCTCCAGGAGCAGAGGACTTGGGTGGCTCTCCCACCTCTGCTTTGTTAGATCGTGCATGAACCTTTCAGACAGGAAGTTATCATTTTAGAGAGGGCCAAGAACACAAATAAGTTTTCTGTTTTTGTCTCTGGTTAACAAATTTGTGTGGTGTGATCGTGGGTGGGCAGACTGAGACCTAGTTAGGAGATGTCACATCCAATGTCCCTGAGCATCCCAGGCTCTAAGCCAGTGTGCACGTCCTTTCCACATGCTAGGGGCTGAAAGATTAGACAAATGTAAAGTGGATTTCGCACCCAGAGCCCTCTGGTGTGCATGCTGTTAGCCCAATTTTTAAAAACACTCAAAGCAGGCCATAATTTTCTTTTTCCCAAAAGTTCATAGGGCACACTTTATTTGGGTCCAGGATAAAGAAAAGAAAGTGGTCACATGTCACAATAGGAAAATGCAAATAAAGTGGAAATGGTTGGCCTCATTTTCAGGAGCACAGCAGCGCAGTCAGGTCGCCCTGCGTCTACCACCCGCCCCATCCTCACGCAGCTGTCCCAGCCCGAGCAGAGGCCAGTGCGTTTCCACCCTTCCTGCACCCAGACCGTCCGGGTCCCGGCTCTTCGGGTCCTGGTCTGAGGCCCATTCACACTCTACATGTCATTGGCCATAGTGGGCTGAGAGGCTCACTGTCTTCAGCAGAGTGTGAGCCCGTGTGTGCGTATGTGTGTGTGTGTGTGTGCGTGTGTGTGCGCATGTGGGGAGGTGTGTTCAGCCTGCCACTGGGCTCCTTTGCACAATCCTTACCTCAGCCGTGTTAATTACAGACCAGTAAGGCTCTCTTACATCACAGCCGAGATTCTTTTTTACGTGTTTATCCTCCGTCAGCCATCTTTCTAGCTCCTTTCCCCGATGTCCCAAATTTCATTTTCACTCTTTTTCCCATTATTTCCTTACACGGTTCTTTTATACATCTTTCTGATAGGAGTAATGGAGGTTAGTTTTT